ATCAAAAAGATAATGATATATACTAAATATAATCGTGTAATGGGATACTATGCAAAAATAAAGGGGCAAATTAATTTAATTATCATTAAGTTACATGATGTAACATTTAATGTTCTTTGTAATACATCTTAATTTTATTGATCAATAATTAAGTAATTATGAATTTTTTTGATGAAATAGTAATAATATTCAGCACAAAAAGCAAATAAAATACATTAATAATTTAATTTTATTGATTCAACCTGAATTCCTAGAGAACAGCAAAATACTTTATATTCTGAAGAATTTGTAAAAGAATTATTAAATATAATTAAAAGATATGCAATTCTACACCTACTAATTTCTATAAAAAAAATATTTTTCTTATAACAAAAGAAATTCGTTATTAAAGCATTTTGGAAATCTATCAATTTTGTCACCAAAAGTATCTCATTAATCTATAGGAATATTTATGGAATAATTAGTATAATGAAAAGTTTGAAAATTATTTGCATGAGCTTTTTATTCAAAAGCAATATTCATCATCAGAACAATTATGATTATAAAGTCACATTGATATATTCTTAAATATAACTACAAGTATAATTCTAATTGATCACATCTAGATCATTTAACACAAATTCTCATAAAAAAACTGGTTTTAGACATGAAAAATACTTGAAAGAAGTTTTACAACAACTATAATGTTCCATTTTGATGAGATCTGTTTAAGCATAATTGATAATTTGCTATAAAAAAATATAAATACAGAAAATCAATATTATACTGATATAAATATAAATATATGAATTTATTTTTGCTCAGTCTTCATTATTAGCACTTATCTAATATGTAAACATCTAATAAAAAAGTACGTTATAGAAAATTTAGCTTTCTTTTCTCATTTTTTTGTTATAATTAAGAATGCTTGTCTAAATTCTTTCAGAAAAATATCATTATAAGTTTTCTGAAAATTCAACCAATCAATAATCACTGAAAAAATATTTACAATACTATAGAATTAGAAGAATTTGAGCCTGAACTAAAAGTATCAACTAGCAATACAAGAACAGTTATTTCTAATTGTAGTGTAATCATCAAAAGTAGAAAAGTGAAACTTGCAGCAGATATAGAAATATATAAGAAATTAGTAAAAATTATAAGTGATAATATTGAAAATGACAAGTTTTATGAAGTATATAAAGCTCTTAAACAATTTCTTATTGCTGAAACTGCTATATATTGTTGTATAATGGAATTTCATATTAATTATTAGTCAAAATTATCATTTAATCTTATTGGATAATTTTGAG